GTGCAGCACTTACGGTGGCTTTGTATAAATTTTGGCTTGTTCACAAAACACCAGGATAGAAAAACACTGGTTGAAGTTTGGCCTGCAGGGTAAGTATATATCCCCATTGGTAGGCATTAAAATTCAATGCCTATGTTTTTACTATATCTGCTGGGATCTGCTTAATATGGTAGAACACCATATCAAATGTAGCTAAGACCAGAACTACTGTATACTTTAATTGGCAGTTAGATTACATTGTTTAGCCCTCATTTCATTTTACCTTTATTTTTTAAATTGATTAATGGCACCTTGAGATTCTGGAGTGTGTTTTTCCTGCTCATCCCTTATACAGAATTCTAACAGACTTGCTTTGAGCAGTGGGTTTCCTATGTGGTACAGACCAGTGCTAAAAGAAATCAGAGTACTGGAAAGGAAACTGAGTCACCAAATAAGGTCAAATTTGGATTTGGCAGCTTTGTTTTAGTGTCCTTTCAGTTTTGGGGCCCACCTCTGAGTGAACCGAAGAGGAAACAGTAGTAGTTGGTATAGATGCTACTGATCTGTTTCCAGAATACAGAGAGAATCCCTTACCTCTGACAAACTGGCAGAACAAAGAGAGAGAGAAAAGACTCCTGTGTCAATGTTGGGTTAGAGAAGAGGACTTTGTGAGGATCCTAAGCATCAGAGAATGGTTATTTGATCTAGGACTGGCTTAAGTGTCCACAAAAAGAAGGTACCAGGAAGGTCTGACCATGAAAACTCAACTTCTTTCCTGCGTTAAAAACAAAAACAAAAGTCAACCTCTTTTTTCTTAGCAAAAAAAAAAAAAAAAAAAAAAAAAAAAGAAGGAAAATGGGAAGAAGACATGGTGAAAATAAAGCAAATCTGGGATTCAGATTCCAGTAAACATGAAGTTTCTTCCAAAAAATTGAATGCTTATAGCAATGCCAAGAATTTCATAGGTCCTTAGTGGGATAAAAGGACAGAAGATTTTTCTAAGTTGATTTGTGGAGACTAAGAACTTTAAATGATGTGATAGTAATTTACTTACAAACACTATGACACACCCATTAATTAGCCAAGCTTTAGTATTTCAATTTTCCTAGTGAGGGAAATAAAGCATGTAGACGCAATACCCTTGCTGAAGGCACTAGTACGGAAGGCTGAAATAGAATTATTTTTGACCCCCAATAATTTTCATTTCCAGATTACCATACTCCTAAACATTTTATCTTCTCAAGACCTAAATTTCCTACTTATTGATTAAAGATGTACTGGGGGAAAAAAAATCTATATGCATTCTATTCTTTCCTTGGCTCTCACTGAAGTTTTCAGGAAACTTTACATTAATGTAGGTTACATTTTATGTCCCTAGAAACAAGAGACAGAGACTGACTTGGAGAAGAAAGACAAAAGAAACAGAGAGAGAGAGAAGAGGGAACTGGTACTATATAACCTCAGACTTTTGGTTTAAATATATTAAGTTTGATGGAAATTAATTAGAAGGTGATTCAGAAACACTGCAGAGCACATATTTATCCTTCATTGTTATTCTAGAGCAGGTTACAAAAAATCCAAACAAAAAGATACCAAATAAAAATAAACATAGATCCCCTTACCATTTTTAAAATCAGATTTGCTCAACTCTTTCATACCCCCAGAAATAAGAATTCAAGCCTCAAAAATGTATTTACATAGTAGCATGGCTTATTATAAAATCGTTTGCATTTAGGTCAAGATACTAGTGTCCCTTTCTCCCCATTTTTAGCACGAGGGAAGGGAGCAGAAGGAAGAAGTCTACAAAAATAGAAGGGCAGTTTGGAGGCACCCCAGCTCTCCATTAGACTCTGTGTGGTCTCATTCATATTTCTCCACCAACTGGCTTGAGTTTTGTTAAGCGAAGCTTTCCAGGCCCTTTGGGTAGGCTGGGACAATCTATGGATCTGTTATCTTTGGCTTGGAGTGATTTCTCCAGGATGCCTAAGCATTGGAGGGTCAAAGCAGGAAGGATTTAAGGGAAGAAAAAGATGGCCATCAGAAACCAAAGATAGTTCAGTTTTTTATCCAATCCCCCATGTGGTACGTCTGTGTTCTTCTGACTGAATGAGGGTCAGTCAGCACATGATGGCTGACAGATCACCTCAGCTGTCATTAGCTAAGCCTGCTACTGCAACCAGCAGAGAAGCCATCAGCTGGGGCTCCGTTGGGATAAATGGCTACAATATACTTGGTGGTTCGCCGAAGAGAAAACTAAAGACAGAGAGAGCTGCAAATACAGGCAGCACTCATTAATGTGGCGTCTCTTCTGATCCTGTCATGCAAAGGTTAGGTCCTAAGTCCTGAGTTAATTCTGTTTGGCTTTTATTAAATTAAGAGTCTCAGTATGGAGATAGATTTATCCAAACCTAGACCTGATTCCTTGTGGGGCTCTTGTCTGGAATTAAAACATGACACTCCAACTGGCCACTTGCAGGGGGACCACTTCTCTCTTTTATCTTGCCTTACAATGACCTCACCTAAACCTCTCAGACAATGCTCAAGGCCTGGGAATCTAGGGAGGAAGAATGGACAGGAAGGGAGAATCTGGTGAGGAAGAGGCTACCCCAAGGCATGGAAATGCCTCTCCTCACCATGATCTTTGTGCACACTGGCACCATGCCTTTGAAGGTCTCACATCATAACAAACATGAAACTGATTAAAAAAAAAAAAAAGGATGAAAATTCCTTAACCTTCCAGTTTCACAAAGTTCCTCCAAGGTAGAGGACTATCTGCTCCCTGCCTGTTACACATATAACTTTTCTTTACATGACCTCATAATATTTATTATAGCTTAGCTGAGAAAGGAATCTCCACGTATCCTTGGCTCAACCTACTAAAGACAAACTCTGTCCAAAAATGAGACATCCAGAACAGGCTTTAGAAATAGGATGTAATGAAAAATTGAGAACTTTCTTTAAAAAAAAATCAAAATTACTAAATTTTGTTCTATTATGCCAGGAGAGACCTAATTTGCCTGCAGTAGGCTTTCATTGAGTATGCAGACATTTCATATCCCCATCATGCCCCAATAGTACTGCACCTTATACTGTTTCAGATCACCTTGTATCACCTGGTGAGTCCCCAACCATTTTCATGAGATCAAAGCATTCCCCCACAGCAGAGGCAGGCACGTCAACAAACAAGCCTGGACTAGGTGAATTTAACCATCTCAGAAGTTGGGTCAATGCTAACATGCAGCAGAGCAAGGGCTGGGATAGGAGAATAGAAGGCAGGAGACACTCAGGCTCATCACAAAGGTTGTAGGAGAGGTGGATGTGTGTATGGAAAGAAGATGCCGGCTGAATGGTGGGATACGGGGTTGTCTTTTCGTGGTCCCAGAGTCAAGAGAGTGCAAAATCCAGAACATCTGGATTTCAGCTTCAGAGAAATGTCTGTGATTTCAGTACCCTGTAGGGACAGTGAGTAGTGAGCAGAAGTGAAGCCCAGAATAAAAATTAATTCCTCAGCTAGAAGGGACAGATCCACATTGGGCAGTTGTGTTCATGGCTTATGTTGACCCTGGGGGGGACATTCAAGGGTACACCCTCTTTATAGTGGAGGTAATTCTATCCTGACCCTGATTCACAGAGCCTCTTGACCTAGAGCGCTACTCCTATGTCTGAAGGCTGGCTGGCATTCTGACCTCATGGGGATTGAGAGAGGGAGACACGTGAGTTACTAGAAGTCTGCCTGGAGCTGTGAGTGAAGAGAGGAGTATCTAAACACAGACATAGACTATCTCTCCACCTTGGTTTCTTTTCCTTCTTTTTTTCCCCCTTCCTCTCTCCCTCATTCCTTCTTTGTTTTGAGAGGATGCTGAAGACTAATATTAGCAAGGGAAACTGGATATATAAAGATTCTTCTGAGGGGACCTGCAGTACTAAGTCTGATAACACTCAGTGTCTGAAACACTGATAGTGTTCCCAGTTTGCTTGGCATTTCTTGAGATGCTGCCATACTTTTTTAATCCAAAGAGTAGCACATGTTTTGAGATCTCAAGGGGCTGCTTTACAAGGGAAAGAGAAGAGGCAGAATCTGATAAGTAGGAAGGGATGTCCTGGTCAACTATTAGAGGGAAGGTGAGAGTTCATACTTATCAACAGGCAGAAGGAAATGGTTCGAAGATTATGATAATGAGTTCTGTGACTTAACTGAAGACTGTCTTTTATTTTCTGGTCTTAATGGAAAGATAAATGCAGGCTAAGGGAGAAGAAACCCAATTTCTTGGTCAGGGGAAACTGATCTAGAAAAACGCAGGTGGTTGGTCGGGAGACTGCGTCTGCAGGGCTTTACAGCACTTCGTTTAAGACTCAAATTCTTGTGTATATAGGGGTTTAAGGAGTTCAGGTGTCCAGGAAGGTTTCCTGGCATGGTACATTTAGTGTTCGTAATGTGGTTTACAGGCAAATTCCATTTCTGGTAATTGCTCTGCCAGCCCAAATTTCTCCTGCTGTTGAAATGGCTTAAGATATCGCTTCAATTCCTTTTCTCAAAACACAATGCAATAGACTTGTTGACTCAGAACGGCTGTCCTGTTGTGGGCCTGTCCCCAGGGAAAGCTGCATTTCTGAGGTGGAAGAAAGCAATTTTGTGCACAGAAAGCAGCCCACAGCAGCACTTTGGCACGAAATGATGCTGAGCAGAGGAAACCTTTACCACACTATGAGGCCCAGCGCCTGAGTCTTGTGTAAAGCACACGCCTGTTAGGATCGGGGCGTTCCACGGTCACGTTCACATTGCTAGCTACTCCCGAGTACACAAGTGCTCAGCGGGAGACGAAAATGAAAGTGAGCGGAAGGTCTGAGGGGAGGCAGCTTATGTTCTGCCTCACTGGTCTCCTGCCCTGGGAGTCCTTTGATCGGAGGGGCTGACCATGGGTCATGAAGCTGCATCAATACCTAGAAGAGAAGGCAGAGCCATGACAAATGATCCTGCAGCCACGTGATTGTATTTGGCTTTTCGGGGTTGATGCAACTACTCCTTAGTTCCATTTCAGCCAAAACAAACACAAAGCTTCATAAGTAAAAAGAGGCTCCTTCTAAGAAAAACAACAGCGCCTAACTTCTCCTACCCAAGAGGTGGAGTCTGTTTTGGCTGGAGGAGGATAAAAAAGAAAGAGTGTTTATCCACTGTGATGTCAGGCCAGGGGAGGGTCCTGCGAGGAAAGCCCCATCTGCTCCTGGTGGCGCAGGGAAAGCCCTGCCTGGCGCCCTTCTCCGGGGATCCTTCTCCTTACTGTGATGAGCCCAGGGAGGAAGTGAAGGGGACGGTGCATTCCACCAGATAAAGAGAGTGATGTGCTTCCCTGAATGGACAGTCGAAACAAGAGGAGCACGGATTAGCCAAGAAAGGCTCTCTTTTTCGTAACGCTTCTGAGATTGGGGAGTTAAGAAGGACACAGTGGCCTGAGGCTGTCTTCTGCCCAGCTCTTACTCTGGGGAGGGGTAAAGCCCAGTCTCATCACATGATGTGATGAGGCCCCGTCAGAACCTGCTTTGCTAGGAGGAGCAGCCCAGGTCTAAGCTGAGGTATATTTACTGATCACCTTCCAAGTATCATGCCAAACTGACCCTTAAGCACAAGCTGGCTGAGGAAGCTGCCAGACCAAGGGCCCCTCCTCCCAGGAGGTCCTCAGCAAACTCACACTGATGCTCCCATGGAAGCTTCTCATTTCAGTCTGTCTGCCTTTCCTCTCTCTCTAGAAGTCTCTACCAGGTGATGTAGGGCCCACCTTGGGTTTATGTGTGCTGCCTGGTCAGGGGCTGGCAGAGAGGCCCGCGGGCTCCTGGGCCAGAGTCTAGGTTGACATTTGGCTGTATGTGCCGATACAACTGTAGGACTGTTCCACGTTCTTCTAGACTGGTTGGAAAACAGACTGTGCCTTAAATGGCCCCCACCCCCCTCAGGGATCCCTTATGACCAGCATTTGCAGGGCCTAAGGCCTGGCAGAGCACAGGGCGCCAGCAGGAAGGCTGAACCTCTGCTCACACCAGCTGGTGCGCTGGCCAGAGGGGTCAAATGCTTTTAAAATATCACCCTTCCTGGAGCGTCAGGGACCTCTGTGGAGCCTGAGGGACCTCCCTGGCCTACCCTAACGCAGCACCTGCTGAGTGGGTGACAGGCTTCCAAGAGACAGGACTGTTGCCCCCAACACCACCCATTCATCATCTCTCTGAGCCTCTCCCCTGTGGTCTGGGCTGCTGGACTATGGCTTTGCTCACCCAGACCAGCCCTTGCTGCTGCTGCCACGGCACCCTGACCCCTTGTTCCACTTCAGCTTTTCCCTCCCTCCTTGCCTCCTATCCTTGGCATCCAAGGCTCCTAAACTTAGCCTGTGCTTCTTTGGGGGAAGCAAGCCAGAGGGTAATGCATGAGATGCCGTTGCGGTTGCCCTGATGGCAGTGGTGCTGGCCAGGGAGCAAGAGTTGGTGAGGGAGGAGGTTCCTCTCCTGTGGCCTCCACGACTCCCCAGGTAAGAGCCAGAAAAATCTTCCAGGCTTTTCAGGGCAAGGGGCGTAGACACAGGCCAGCTCCATCCCTCCACGGCTTAGAGAAAAGTGGGAAGGGGCAAGGGGAAGCAAAGCCATCCTCACGTCCCTTCTGCCGTGGGAATAACCCTCTGTGTTCTTGTATTTCCTTTCCCCAGCAAAGAGGCAAAACTATGGCAGTGCCCATCTTGCAAAGGGAAGTAAAGCAATCGGGCGCGTTCGACTGGTTTTCCTTGGGTCCTTTCCTTCCTCTTGTCCAATAATGCATGGTGTCCTTCTCTCTTCCTCCTCCCTCTTCCTCCCCCCCCGGGCAGCACTGGCTTCCCAATTCGGTCCTGGTTTTCTCCGTGTGAGAGAAGAGCATGCATCGGAGGGGGGAGCAGCCTCTAGCACTTGTCGTCCTCTTCCGTGTCACTCAGGAGGTCGCTGACAGCCCCACACATCACACCTGGCCCGGGCCCCCCGCGCCTCCGCCGTCGATAGTGCCCATTGGGCATCTGCCAGCTGTGCCGCAGCGGTGGGGCCGAGCCGATGGTGTTGGAGCGGCCCAGGCTGGTGGCCACAGCTGCTTCGAAGGTGAGTGTCTCCTCCTCGCCACAGTCCGAGGCGTGGGAGTCTTCGTGCAGGGCCAGGTAGGGCTCGGAGATGTAGCGCTGTGGGGAGGCGTGCTGACCCTGCTGTACGTGCCGGGAGCTGGAAGACTCCGCCAGGCTGGCCTCAGGGCTCTCCAGGGCTTGGGAGGCCAGCGGAGAGCCACCCTCGCTTCCATCAGCCGGCGGAGACATGCTCCCGGTGTGTCGAATCAGGGAGCTGTAGGAAAGGAGGGGACGAGGCTTTGGTGGCACGGGCGGGAGCTGCCGGCGACTTCGTCTCGGAGTGCTGGTGTCAGAGATGGAGGGGATGGAGCTCTCACTCAGGGAACCCGTGCCCTGTGCAGTGGGACAGACATGGCATGTTAGACGGGGCTGGGCCTGATCCCTACTCGCGGCCCTGTTACAGCCCCTAACCCTTCTGACAGAGAGCCTGTGGAGTCTGGGCTCTGGGGGAGGGAGGGCTGAGTTGGGGTCCCATCTGCAAGTCCCCTCCCCTAGGAATGCAGGGATTAACTGAGACTGAGGAGTCTCTGCCACATAGGCCAGGGCAGGTCCATTTAAACTGCAGCTGAGGCCTGAGACTCTGCACTTCTAACAAGCTCCCAGGTGCCGGACCATGCGACAAACACTTCAGGTAGCGAAGATCTGGAAGCTCTATATATGTTACAAGTGGCTCACCAAAGAAAGCCTTGGGACTTTTCAGAAAGACCACTTACAGGAAAGGTGAATGAATGCTCTAGGGCTGGTGTCTGGGAAATCCTTCTTGGGAAGTGGATCTGAAGGAATGGCAAACACCTTCCCTCCTCTTCACTTTTGCCTTTGCGTCTTCAGTGGCTTGCTGATGTTAACTCACCCACATGACCAGCTGCTTCCTCAGACCTTACGTGACCTGCTCTCCTATTTATTCCCAAGGGTCCCTGAGCCCAGTGCCAGTAAACGGACCTTCTGGAAGGTGTTTCTCAAGGTATGTGTGACCCATGAACCACCTGCTCAGAAACTCTTGGGGAAGAAGGGGTCCTTTCAACTGCAGACTTCTGGGTTTCCCTTTCTAGCTGGTCTCACTACTGCAGTAGAATGCTTTAGGCCCCAAGGCTATGCTTTGGTGATTATGTTCTGCACTGAAATTTGAAAGCCACTACTCTAGAAGAAAGTTCTCCACTGCCTCTAAAAGTCTCTATTAGCCCCTCCTCCTCCCCTCTGCTCACTGCTGTTGACTGGATCTCCCATCTGGGCTCTGACACCCGTGGTAGGGCTGGGAGGTGGAGAGCAGGGCTAGAGCATGTTTTCACATAGATCGGGTAGTTGTTTTTTAGGCAAAGGATGGTGTTTCAACAATAGTCTGGAAGAAGAAGGTGGTCTTCTTGCGATGGCTGGAAGCTAGGTCAGTAAGGTTGAACTGATCCAACTTATAAATCCTGTGCTGAGGGATGAATCACCATTCTAACTAATACTTAGGATCATGTAACTGGTCAAAGAAATTTTTCTGGCTAAAGGTGATCTTTTCCTCCTAAATCTGGCTGAGACATTCTTGCACGTATTTGTTGGGACTTTGTACCTCTGGGTTCTGAGGACTGAGATGGAATGACTTCTCAGTACCATTGTCTTTCTTGGGGGAACTATCTGGTTTTCTGTGAATGCCTATCCTTTGTAAGTACACAAGCATGAGTAGCTAACTTCTGCGCACAATGGATATAGTTTCCTGTGAAACCAAGGTCTGTGTGGGTGCCCATATTTTGCACCTAATGTTAACAGACCACTCCTCCCTATCTTTCTAGAGGCTCCACTTCCTCTCCATGCTCACCTGTCTGTTGGGGGTCTGTGACCTGCCCTCGCTGGGAGACCTGGACTCATGGCGCTCGGGGGACTCCCAGTCAGCCTGGGTCCCTCGCTCCTCTGAGTTGCAGCGGGAGACATCGGGAGAGAGAAGATGCTTTCGCTCTTTTGACCGTCCCCGCTCTCTGCCCCCTGAGCGGTGGGTGTCAGACTTGTGGCCTGGGAGAGAAGACAAAAGCATCTGATCACAACTCTACCCATACTGGCCTCTGAACATAAAGAGATGTCATATAGCCTGGGACTGAGCCCCTAAAGAACCCCAGCTTCTCCAGGCATGTCAGAGGCAGGAGGGAAAGGTCGGAAAACTACCCTTTGTGAAGAGGTAAGTGTGCAGACACATAGGCCAAAGGTTGCAATTGGTTCTCTTCTGCTTCTGTTAACCCTAGACACAATTAAGATAGAATCTTTGCCAACACCCTGGCCCAGGAATTCTCTATGTCCTAAACATGGGTGTGTAACTTTTGGGGGGCAAGATGGCACCAGTAGAAGGGATGGAGGTCAAAGGGTTTCAGTCCCACTGAGGGCTTCTAGTCCCATTTCTGTGAATTACTGGCCCTATGCTACAGGCATGTCACTGCTTTTTAATATCTGTTTCCTCATCTAGCAAAACAGCGTTTGAAGTAGACTAATGATTTGCTAATGATTGTTATCAGTATGACCCTTTTCCTTAAAACAACAACAACAACAAAAAAAAAACAACAACAACAAAAAATGAAACTCAAATACCTAAAACAATTCCAGGTAACACTATCGAAGTTGAAGCGGAGTTGGAGGTGAGAGCCCAGACCCTGCCAGGAATATATCAGAGGCGCCCTAGCAAACCCCAGGGGTTTTGCAGAAGGCCATTTGAAAATCTCAGTTTTTTTTATTATTGAAATATAACTGAAATACAAGGTTAAATTAGTTCCAGGTATACAACATAATTGCTTCAATAACGCTATACATTTTAATGATTTCTATAGCCCTACTCTGAAAGAAAGAAATTGCAGCCTTTAGGATGAATATAGAGGACTTCATTTTGGGATAAGTCACAAAGGGAAGCCACTTCTGGTCATGAGTGTTCTTCCTTCCCTCACTCTCCTCAACCTGCATTCTTATCTGAATCCTGTTCCAGTGATTTTCAGTTCTTGCCAGAATTGGTCGTCAGGGCGGGAGCCTGAAAAGAGGTGAACAGTGAAGACCCCTTCACCTGAGTCAGAATTCAGGCGATGAGCTGACAGCCTCAGGGAGGAGTGGTAACTCCGGCGACGTGACTTGTAGGTGTTTTCACTGCTTCTCTCCATAGAGAATTCCTCCAACCATGAGGAATTTGAACGCTTATCCCGAATGGTGGAAAATGAGCGTCTCATGGAGCTAGGGTCTGTCACCACCTGGAAACGTGAACCCCCCCCAGAGGAACACAAAATCCGGATTAATTACTGGAAGGTTCTAAAATTAGGGAAGAAGTGAGATAGAAATTATTGAACATTGCAAAGCATAACTTCCCTTGAATCCCTCTTGCTCAGACCTGAGCTGAAGGAGGCTGTTCCAGAAAGTGTCTTATGCTATATTAACAGAGATATGAGACTTAACTAGGGTCTTTTCTTCGTGCTCAGGAAAGCAAGCAGCTGAGTATACAGGGTAAGCTTCCCATACAGCCATTTACCAGAAGAACTCAGCCAGGACCTGCAGTGAACCTTGGAATATGTGAAGGCAATTGTCAAAAAAAGTCTGCACCACACAAGAAGCACAGCTTTGCCTTTTATTGTTTCCCCTCGCCAGGGAAGGCCCTGCCATGTAGCCTGGGAGCTTAGGAGAGCTTGTCACTGGGCAGCATCTAAGATTGAACTGCTCTCTATCATGGGTTCCATCCTAGTCCCACCTTAAACTCTGGCATTTTTGATTTGCCACAGATGTTAAAACAGATCCACAAAAACTTCTTGTCTCTGTCAAAACTTGATGTGAGACAGACAGACAGAAAAAAAGAAGCCAGGAAAACAGACAAATGAGGCGTGGCCTGCACTGGTTAGGACAGACGGTCCTGACACAGAGCTGTGTGTGTATGTAATTGCATATGTGCTGGGGGAACCAGGAAAGGAGAAAAGGAAAAATACGCAGGGAAAATCCTGTAAAATATTTCTTGCATGGCTGGTTGAGCCTTGAGAATGTTGATCCCATCCGGAAGGAGTTATACCATTTTGCTGGCTAGACTGTTATGGTTAGGGCTTCCTTGAAAACACACTGTGGAGGAGTAGGCTCTACTAAAGATGGCCCATGAGCCAGATTTTTCTTGTAGGGAAGGGATGGGGGCAAGTCAAGAGCTCACCTGATAATATCAGATGTTTTTTCATAACCCACCAATTCAATACAGCCCAGGATGCCACTGCATAGGGTAGGTGGTGATAGCTTTTTACCTGGGGATCCACAGTCAGGCGTGGCATAGAGGATGCCCTCCCAGATCCCGTATGCTCCTGGGTGTCCGAAGGAAGGTAGATGCCATGGTTAGAGGACTGCACGCTTTTTAATTCACTAACCTCTGGCTCCTGGAAATAAACACACAGCCACGCTTGTGGGACTTGGTTCCATCTCATTGTTTCTCACCTCCAGTGGATGATTCTGCCTCCTCCATAACAAAAATGGCTTTTAGAAGACAGACTTGCATCTTTATGATCTCAGTTGTATGTGTATATATGTGTCCATTTATGTATGCACATGTGGTATACCAGATGTCCCAAACAGAAAGCTCTACCTGGGATTAAAAGGTAAAGATTACCTTTCCTAGTCTAGTATTTATCACTTTTATTTACTACTAAGCAATGTTTCAGATTGTATAGCTCTGTAAAGTATTATGAGTCATAATACTTCTTAGATATGTGAAGTCTACTTTTTGAGAGTTGGTAGCGTTGGTTTCCTCAGATTAAAAGAATAAGCCTATTTATCAACTAAATAGAAACTACTGGGGCGCCTGGGTGGCTCAGTCAGTTAAGCGTCCAACTCTTGGTTTTGGCTCAGGTCATGATCTCATGGTTTGTGAGTTTGAGCCCCGCTTCAGGCTCTGAGCTGTTGGTAGGGAGCCTGCTTCAGATTCCCTCTCTCTCGGGCCCTCCCCTGCTTGTACTCTCTTTCTCTCTCAAAATAAATAGATAAGAAAAATAAACAAATAGAAATTCCTACTCTAAGGAAAGTCACCAATTTCTGGTGTCAAATATATCATCTCAAACCTTAAGACATGATTTTGTGAGCTGAGAGCTTTCCTAAGATTAAAACCATTTGAAAAATGTGGTAGGTGATGCTGTCAGGGATGCTCCAAACTAGCAGAGTCCAATATAATCCAAACTACTATGTAATTTTAAATTTCCTAGTAACTACATTTAAAAGAGTAGTTTTATCAAACTGTGTTTTATTTAATCCAATATATCCAAATATTCTCATGTCAACATGTAATCAATCTAAAAAATGAAGATATTTCTTTTTTTTTTTTTTTTGCACCAAGTCTACCTATCGCACATCTCAGTCTGGACTAGTACATTTCAAATGTTCAACTGCCACATGTGGGTAGTAGCTGTTATACTGGGCTGTGCCACTCTACAGAATTAGAGATTTCCAATCCACCCTTCTAAGTCTCTGTGCAACTTTTTTTATTTTCCTGGCTAAAGAATGTTAGTTTGGCAAATGTACGTGATCTATACAGATAGCTACTGTCATTGCATAAAGGGTAGGGCTGCCTTGGAAATGTTTACATGGCCACCAAAGAGACCTAGAAATATCCTGGACATCTGGAGATTATAAACCAGAAAAAAAAAAGCTATTTTATATTTAGGAAATTATACCTTAACAACCTAGTTGTCTGAATAGGGCACTGCTGAAGGAAGCCTGCCCAAGACCCTGTGGCTGGGCGGTTGGTGGGGTGAGTGGGAGGACTGCCTTCCTAGGACATGTGATACGTGCACTTGAGGGAATTATAGTGTTTGTAGTACATGCTTTATAAAGCACACAGGTCCGACTTGAAACAGACGTGGTAACAACACTACAGGCTGTGGGGTGTGAGAGGTAGTGTAAGACACACGCACAAATCATGGCCACGCCTCTGGACGTGGAGCAGGGGGCCCCAAGGGATGGGCAGGAGTACACAGTGGTGAGAGTATAGCACGGGCTGACACCTGAACTGAATTACAGACACCAGTACTGACAATGAGATGAACACATATCCAAAAAGTCCTGGCACTACGGCTCAGCCCTGGGGAACCCACAGAAATAATGATGTAATAAAGAAAGCCTCCCTGTGAAAGAAAGGACACATTATTGAGATTTTCCCAGCCAGACGCATCATGAGGCAGACAAGCTGTAAAATGCTGAGAGGCACTTTTAAGAATCAAACTATCTGTACCAATTAGTCCATGGTACTAAATTCCTCACAAAGAAAGGCAGGAAATTCGTTCAAGGCTTCCTGCCTACCTTACCAAGAACACCTAAGGCACTCATACCATGCGAGGGTCTGGTCTAGTTGTCTCCCAAACACAGCGACCCAGAATTCCCTGTCTCTGCAGTCACTGGAGACGGAATCACCCATTTGAGCTACCAAAGGGTTCTGCCCTGCTCTGAGGGTACTCATGCCAGCAGACATGCACTCCATAAACAGATCAGTCCCACATTTCACCCACATCATCCATCTAGGATGGCTCTGAGGTGCACGGTAGCAGTGGAGAGTGGTCAGGAGAGAAGGGGAGAGAAAAAAACAGATGAATTATAATCAAAATGGCATAGAACTTACTATAAGCTGTCTATATGGATTTTTGCAAATGTTGGGTTTTGTCTTTTTCTTCCCAGGCCAATGAACACTTGGGGTTTAAGTCTAAGCTCAGGAAGGAACCTGATCTGATGACTCCTGAACTAAGGATAATGGTAAAGTCTATTATCATTGGAAATCACATGTTAGCTTTGTATTAGCAAAATCTAAAGGTCAGTGTGCCTCCTCTTCTCCAAGCTTAAACTTGACTCGAGGTTTCTCAGGAATTTTATCATTTATGCTAATAAAAAACTATAGGCTTGGGGCACCTGGGTGGCTCATGTGGTTAAGCGTCCGACTTTGGCTCAGGTCATGACCTCACACATGAAGGTTTGAGCCCCGCATCGGGCTCTGTGCTGACAGCTCAGAGCCTGAAGCCTGCTTTGGATTCTGTGTCTCCATCTCTCTTGTCTTTACCCCGTTTTCACTCTGTCTCTCAAACATTAAAACAAAAACAAAACTCTAGGCTAATGGGAAGGATTTTAGGGACCTCTTAGAATGTACTTGGCTGGTAGAATTGTGACCCAAAGGGACACACAGAAAAGAGCTAAGAGATTGTTCTGTAACTCTTGGCTGACAGCCAGTCACTCACACGTGCTTCCCTGAGTGATCCAGGAGCAGGGCGTCTCCCAAGGGCTGGCATAGGGTATTCCTGTGTTCCCAGAAGCAGTACCTGGCTACACTAAGCTGTCCATTTGGTGCCACTCATTCTGACGGTCCATCCTAAGGCCCCATATCGAAGGCAAGATTTTGACTCTTGCTTCTACATTTGCTGCTTACAGGCATAAGTTAAGAAGGTTTGGCCTGAAGCAGTGTAAGTTCCTGCAGTAGGTAAGGGGCCTCTGGGATTGTAAAACTCTGCAGAGGAAGCATTTGTCACAGAACATCAGAAATTCAGCTATGAAAGGAGAGACAGCAGGAAACTCCTGGGGTAACTAACTGGCAGGACTACTGGAAAGGGTTTTCCTGATAAACCATAGCTATGAAATAAAATTTGGAAATGAGGATGGGAGGGATCAGGAAACCAAGGAAAGATTTTTGAGGTCATGTAACTCATTCATTCACCAGAGACTGCTGTTCCTGAAACTGTCCATCATCGGCTGGGTCCATACAAGCCAACTGGAATATTTCCTGGGGGGAGAGCGGACTCATCGAAGGGTATCCACTACGGCCACTCCTGAAAAGCAATGGCAAAGTAGGAGGTAATGTGTACATGAGAGAAAAAGAGAGAAAGCCATGTCATAGGCACCACTATTAATTCCCACCCCAGACAAGACTTCCTTCCCACCAAGGGTAACACCCTTTAATACTGGCTGGCTTGTAAGCCTGGTAACTGACAGGCAGCTGGACCCTAGAATTAAAAACTAAAAAAAAAAAAAAAAAGCAAAAGCATTGGAAAGGAGAAACCACTGTTTTCAACCTGTGTTGGGAATCATTCAGTATTCTGCTGGTGACTGGTGTATCTGTGACAAATGACATTATTTGTCACACTCAGCCATATGGAAGACCAATGCTGGATTGCAAACCTGTTTCTGCTCAGTTTCTCCCTTCAGCAGAAAAAAATGCCATAGTTTAAACAGAGAACAATTTGTTTAAATATTAAGCAGTCATGGTCTTTTAAAAAATTTCCTCCAGTTTCAGTAGAAATATGGTTTTATTGTGCCAACATCCCTGGCCAAACTAAACAATTCAATGCTATGAACATTTATTGAAGGACGACTGTGCCAGACATAGTATCTGTTGGTTTATGAACGTGTGGAGTGATCTCAGAGGTGCTGGTGAGGAGGTGGTAACTTCTGGGTTGATGGCTATGTAGGGGGATGCTTGAGTGGTGATGAGGTAAGAGGCCTCTGAATGAAAGGTATGGACAGCTGTCCCTGTGTGCCTGATATTAAACCACTGTTGGGTACCTGTGGACACTCTTAGCCAATGGGATCCACGGGGCAGGTTAGGAGAAAAAGAGATAGCCAGTCTTTCCTGAGAAGATAGCTACTATAAAATAACAGGTGCCCTCTGACCTACTCAAGGATGCAGAGTGGGCTTCCTGATCGTGGGAAGAAGGTCAGGGTCTGGGCCGCAGCTCTCAGTAATGGTGGAGCTGGCAGGGGGAGACGGGTCTACCATCTTACGCTCGAGGAACAGCCTTTTCATGGTTGAGTCTACTGTACTCATGAATGCATCCACTGGAAAATTTGAGGCATAAACAAGGGGTTCCAGTTACTTAAAAATAATCCATAGGCACAATCTTACCTTGACTTGGATCACAAGGAGAGATCTGAAGAGTAGAGAGTCACCCCCGCCCCCCCCCCATCTGGCCCCTTGCTGCCGGGAGGAGGTTTGCTGAATTTTCACAACTGATGCAGAGTGATCTGATATTTAAATGACCTGCTTACATGTTACTCATCTTACTCAGTGTGTCTTCTCCTGAGAACCACTAGGAGTAGGATAGGCACTGCTGTATGAGGAATCACAGAATCTCTAATAGGTAGAGAGGACCCTTGGAATCACTGAACAACCTCAGAGTTGACTAACTTCAACCGAGAGTTGGCTTCCTACTTTAAAAACCTTGTCTGTCTTCTCATCGTTAGGATAAAGTCTGGAACATGGCTGCTCATGATCTAGTTCCTATTTTTCCAGCTTCCTCTTGCCCTTCACCCCCCGCTCCTGAATTTCATTCTCTTAAGTTCACTGAATGTGCCCACCCGGCTTCTTTCTGCCTCAAGATGTTAATACAGGCTGTTCCCAGAGAACAGAATGCTTCTCTCCAACTCCTCTGCCCTCCACAAACTCTGTTCATGTTACTTTGAGTTCATCCTTCAAAATTCACTTTGTTAAGTAAATGCTCTCTGATCTCTCCCTCTGCCAGAACTGGCAGGTCCCCTTTTCACATGGACTCAGATTCTGCCACACTGTTTTCTTCCTATACAAATGACTGAAAATGACAGCTTTCCTTCTTTCCAATAATTGTGTTTCATGACTGGCTTCCCACCAGGTGTAAGCTCAGTCAGGGCAGAAGTTACGGAGGGACCAATGTCCCCCTCTCAGGACATGTGCCAACATCGATCCCAAAGGCTCATGCCAGAAACTTGGGGGTCATCTTTTATTTTTCCCCTCTCCTTTACTCCCTGAGGCAAATCAATCACCAACTCCCATCCAGTCTCCCTACTGATAATATTTCAAGTCTTTGCATCTTTCCCCATCTCCCTCTTGTTAGTCTAAGGAACAGTCATTAATAATTTACACAATTGCAGTCACATACCAAAAGCAGTACTGTCTCTCAAACTCCTCCCCTCTGATCCAAGCCCACACTGGATTCAAGAATGATCTTTGAAAAGTTCAAGTCTGATCATGTCACACTGATGAGTAAAACCCCACTCCCGTATCCCATTTATAATGCTCCCACGTGCTGGCCCCAGTGGAGTTCGTCACCTGCTGCCTCACTGAGCTCTCTGTGCTCCAGCCAGCCATCAGGCTCCTGAAGCTCATCACCTTCTCCCTTCTCTTGAAGAACATGCCTCTGAGTCTCACTTAAACATTACTTCCGCAGAGAGACTTCCCTGACCCCCCGACCAGGTGTGCTGCTTCCCTCCTGTGGTATTCCAATAGGCGACCCTTCTCCATTTGAACTTTCATCACTTTTGTAAATTTCTTTTTCAGGATTTGTCTCCATGGGGACCGTGATAATGTTGACTGCTAAATACTTAGTGCCTGAGCCAGCTTTTCCATCATATTGGGTTTTAATAAATATTGGTCAAATCAATGAGTAAATGAATCAATAAACACAGAGAGAAGTTGGACTGATGCCATGTGGGAGTTAAGTAGAGCAAAATGTTTCGGTGAGAGAGGTCTAGGTAGAGGGGTGGCCTCCTTTCTAAGCCAAGGACTCTTGAAAAATGCTGCACACCCTTCCACTGGGAAGGTTCCACTGCTCCAGGCATACCTCCTTCCCGCACAGATCAAAGATAAACATCTGCCGGTTTTGTGTAGACAGGAGAATCCATACCTTGCTACCTCATCACATCAAATATTTGTAAAAATGAGCAATTGCCTTGGTCATGGTATTGGTCCTTTGCTTCTCTTGTAAATGTGTTGGATTATGACCTCTGAAATCAATGTTTTTCAAAAACAGGCGTCCAACACCACAGGCAGAAAGGAACTCATGGTGAGAGACTCCAAAGGGCTTTCATTCCCCTGATGATTCCTAAAGTTGTGATATTTAGTGACTATTGGTTCCATGAGAACCAGGACTGGGTTAAACCCAACAACAAAACCTCATTTACATGGGGTAGAGGAATTTCTGCCCTTTGGATACCTGTACATGCTTGTTGAGGAGAGAAAAACCATGTTATAATGAAATAGGGATGGTATAATAAAGCATTTATGACTAACAAGTAGGGGCTAAGGCTTGCAACTCAGAAGAGTTGACAAATTCCTTAACTGAGGTTTTGTTTCTGCTTCCAATATACACATCTTTTTTTTTTTTTTTTTTTTTTGTGCCTGATCTAAGGTTGCTTTTGTTCATTACAGATAGCACCGTAGTGGGAATACTCTAGAGGTTAGGAATAACAAACTTAAATTCCAGTTCAGCTTCGGCAACTAATTTAATGGCCAATTTCTTATTTGTTTGATGACACTAACTTATGCCCTTTATCCTTTGTCCATTCCCAGTGCTGTCTCTTAAGCTGGCCACAATACCAAATATGCATTGTCTGCCTTTTATTACCCCTGCTGAATAGCCATTTTAAAATAAAAATTGTAATGGGGCACCTGGGTGGCTCAGTCGGTCAGGTGTCCAACTTCCTTTGTGAGTTTGGGCCCCACATCGGGCTCAGCGCTGACAGCTTGGATCCTGCTTCAGATTCTGTGTCTCCCTCTCTGCCCCTCCCCCACTTGCACTCTGTCTCTTTCTATCAAAAATAAACATTAAATTAAGTACATAAATAAAAATAAAAAATGTCTTCACCTCAGAGAAAGGGTCATTTGGCTCAGACTATTATTTCTGGGGCATTTCTGGGCCTGCACAATGGCATGGGTGACAGGATGCAAACAGGGCAGCTGTGGACCCATCGGTTATACTCACAAGCCTGAGACAGGGTCCTGCTGGAGATAAGGCAGGGCTTTGGCATTAGCAATGATCTCCTGAGGCAGAGATGAAGGCTCCATGCGCTGGAACATGGGTGCGTTTTTCTGTGTTAAAAGTAGGAAGGAGGAAAAAGGAACTCATATGACCCTGGGGTGTGTTGGTGGAGTGGGGAATACAATTTACTTGGGTAATATAGGAACATGCCTGATACTCTGATCCACTGGGTTTCTAATCCCCACAACTAGAAAGTTCCTGGACACTGCACCCCTACCTCTGCTTCTAAGCACTTGCAGGGCACTGTGCCCCAGCTATGCACAGGCCCGTCCCTATAGGGAGTCATGTGACTCCTCACGGCCCACCCACCTCCCATACTGTCAGTGACCCTCACCTGTTCCTCCAGCTGCTGCCTCTGCTTCTTCACCTTACTCTGTTTATAGTAGTCCATGATCATCATTGCTGCATAGATTTTGCCCACAGTCAGGTCAGAGGCTAAAAACACAAATGTGGCATGGAAGGGAACAGGGAGAAGACAGGCGGCAGAGAGTGAGGATACCTCACAAGCTTCCCCATTCTTTGAACCAGGTTTGCTCCCTCAGCCATCCACCTAGCCAGTATTTATTGAGAGCTCCACATGCACCAGACCCTGAGGATACAAAGTGACTAGGTTGCATATCTATCTTTGGGAGCTTCCATAGCCACCCAGTGAGAGTAGGCGTACTGATGAGAAACCACATGTGAGTAAGCATCACCTCCACTGGTCTAGATTTCCATGTCTAAGTAATGGCACCCTATTCCCACCTGCATGAGGGTTTGCTGAACAGTATTATGGGTAGGGAGAGAGCTGTGCACCCAAGAAGTTTCACCCACGACTACAGTGACCTATCTTGAGAAAATGTTTTCAATTCATGCCAAAGGGATTAAGGAGTGGGAGATTTGGGTTTCCTAAGAATAAAAGAGCAACCTTCCCTCATCTCCTTGATCCCTCAGTGTTCTAAAAGATGTGGCCTTGGTATGCTGAGCTCAAAGTGACAACGATACCCAGGAGGAGACCCACACCTTTGGGCATGGGCACGAGCAGATCTAGCATCTTCTGGGATAGGTGAGGCCAGATGGCCAGGGTCTCCTTTTGTAGTTCTGAGTCTAGCTGCTGTCTGTCTGCACCACCTAGAATAAAATAAACTTCAATAAATAAAAAAGACATACAAGTAACCAGTACCCAGGGAGCAGGTGGGGGGAGGAGCTGAACCAGCATGGCACCTCATAGTCTCAGAGGAGATCTTGGCACTTCGTGACAGTGGATCTTGTAATACCATGTCTTTCTGCTGAAGTAGCAGAACACATTTTGGCTCCCATTTTTAGTGACTCAGGGATATCCTGCCACAAGATCTGAGGCCCCAAGACCAAGATCAGCTTCCTCATTCATTTGAAATACCTCCCAGGTGCTTAATATATCAGAGGGAAAGATGAAAAGAGCCACAAGGAGCCTCCCCTGACTCATTATACATACATCAATTCTTCCGGCAACTCTGACTCCACAGTCTGAGTGACCTGATTTTAAGAAGGATTTGGATCAGGCAAGAGCAGGAAGGCTGGATGCCCATCTGGAAGTAATAAACCTTTTTTCTCCTAAATCACTGAACTGGCCCTGATGGTATCTGCCACAAACCTTCCAGAGCATTAGAGATACCACATAAGAAACAAAAAGAACAAAATTAAAACTCATTTGTTCAATAAACAAATATTTCTAAGATGCCTACTATGTGCCATCCACTGAAGACCACATCCCGGTAAAGCTGAAAGGAGGCTTAGAGATTGTCAGACCAGTCATTTATTTTCCAGGAAGAAATGGCAGACATTATAGTGATTGGCTCAGAGGTGAAACTAGGACCCTGATAGTTGATTTTCAGATCACGACATTGTCAGACGGATGCAATGTTCAAACAGCTCTGTCCTGTGCCACCTTGGGTGAGTCGTTCCAGAGTCCCATTTTCCTTTCCTGGCTTACCTTTGGCGATTTTGATGTCCAGTGCTGTCCGTATCAGAGCCATGAGTGTGGAGGTGAAGTGGACTGTCATGTCCTCAGCTACTGGCATATTCATCAGGACCAACCTCTGTGCGAAAGAGAGAAAAGAAAGAGCAGGAGGGAAAAAAATATCGAAAGAAACCTTGGTGAGAAGAGAAGAAAAGTGTGGAGGTCAATGCTGAGACAAAAAAGAAGGGCAAGGATTCCCCATCCCCGGTCCCACCTCCTCTCCCTGCTTCTCACTTATGGCTCATTTGCTGCTGTTTAGTCCCCCCCCCCCCACTAGAGAATGTTGCCAAATTCCAAAAGAAGGAGGAGTAATCATTCTTGAGGACTCCTCCATGGTCCTAAGAATGTCTTTAATAGGGATGGAAAGTGATTTCTGAAAGAAGTGGCTCAGAGAAAGGAGTCAGCTCTGGGAGGTGGCTCCATTCCCTGATGCAAGGCTGCTCTCTCTTTCCCCTTGTCCCATGGATACCCCCAAAACTCACATGGAAAGGTAGTGATGGGAGAGATTCTGCTTTGCTTATCTGTTGAAATATGCATCCTGATGCCCCCCTTTTTGAGTCTTTAAAAGGTGAAATTTGCCAGCACGTGATTGAACATGCATAAGTCCAACTTATCCAAAGGTGGATGAGGTGGAGCAGGATGGAAAAGGAGGAGAGTGCAAACAGGGTACAGGGGAAGAAAGCTGGGAACAGCAGAGAAGAGAGAATGAGAGAAGGGTGACCAAGGCAGGAGCAGAGTGGGCAGGCCTTGTTCCCCTCACCCAAAAGAAGGGATCAAACTGAAATGGCCAAATCCACTTTCCAGAGAGTATATTGCTTTTGGAATCCTTTAACTTTTCCTCCAGTCCCCACGCCCCTTCAACCCGCCAAGCTTCATCCCCGACATTCAAAAAACTCAAGGCCACATTCTACCACCTGGTACTTTGGGATGTGGCCACCATGAGCAAAAAGGATGCCAGCCCATAAGCTGCACATGAAGAGCCATGTACTGGGCCCTCAAGGGCCCTGTTCCAAGGAGATGCTCTCTGGAGCTGTACAAGTTGGAGGCAGCAGCAGCAGCAGGTCCTCTGGCAGAACCACCAGCCTAGCAGGGAGGGACATGTCTCTTCCCAAGGCAGGATCTCTAATGCTCCAGTGGAACATCTGGCCTAATGTGATTCTACAGACATGGTGTCTTAGAGTGTAAAGTCAGTTTCTTGTTTGTATCTGAGTTCCATCTCTCTCCCACTTCCTTAAGCTTCTAGAGAAGTGGCCACATTGCTGTGGTATATTCCCAGATGAAAGTGCTCCAGAGTTCTGGGTCAGTCTAAACACCAAACAGTAACTATTACTAATGGGTGGAGAAAAAAAAATCAGGCCCCAAAGCTCTGAGTACCCTAATGGCGGGTGACTTCCAATGTATGCTGCTGCTCTGAGCAAGCCATGGGGAATCCACCCATAACTCCAGGGTCAGCCCCCAAATCAGTCATGCCAATAATGCAAATCTAATGCTGAGTGCAACTTGTGCCCAATGTCACCTTTTCCCTTGTACTGACAAGAGAACCGGGCAGCTGGGCTGGTGGGGGAAGGGGCCTGGATCCTTCATCATGTATCCTAGAAGTCGCGTTCTTCTTTTTTTCTAATACCTAGAAGGAACCATGACACAGTTCCTTCCTATATCAAAGAAGAAGACATTCATTAAGGGTTTGCCTCTCTCCTAAAAATGTGAACCATGTTTAGACAAATTTCTGCATCATTTCCTCAGCTTATCTGATTGGAGGTTTTTTCTAGGCTCTGATAGCAGTTTTGCTGTTCGCTTCCTTCTTGCCCATATATGCTATCCTGCAGGCCACCACTCTGCCTCCCCTGAGCAAACACGCTACTTAACACTTCCTTTCTAGTCATCTGCTCACAAGAAGCCACACGCTTGGAGACACGCAGAAGAACACATAACAAGCCCCACGGTGAAGACTCTCGCCAATCATTCCTCATATTGTTTCGGGACTCCATACTTCCAGGAACCTTCCTTGTCCTTTGACCTCATCATTCCTTTTCCCCTTGGTTCCCTCCTCCACCTCCCCGGCCCAGCTTCCTCCCCATGTTCTGGCCTCCCTCCTGTTGGTCTCTAGCCCAGAACAAAGGAAGGGGTGGTCTACCTTATATGCCACTTTGGAGGGACATCTCTTGCCGAGGCCTAGCGGTGGTGACATGAGAGTCAGCATTTCATACATCTCAGTGTAATGGATGCGGCCACTGCTCATGGAGGGGTGGTAAGTGGAGACGGGGTGGGTGGGCAGGGCAGGGAAGGAAGTGAGGAGAAGGATGCAGACCAGGAGGAAAGGAGAACAGGCATTCCCAGAGAGCCAAAACAAAACAAACAAAATAATACAGAGAACAGGAGAAGAGAAACAAAACAAAATGGACAAACAGAAAAAGAATAGGAAACCTGTTAATCGAGGCAAATCGTACACGGGACTCCATCCTGGTGCGGATTTATATCACGCCCCACACAGACCCGGGAACGTTGGTGGCAACCTCTGGTGCCCCTGACTCTGCTGCGTAGTCATGGGGACGCGTTTTCTCCTCGTGGTCGATTGTTACCTACTTCGCTACTCACTCTATCCATCCTCCATACAACACAAGCCTGTTTTCAATTCCCAGGGCTGTGTGCGAGCGGTATAAAACGGATAGACGGTGCTCCAGCCACGGGTTAGGATTTCTGGCCCCGGCTGGGACGGGGCCCCGACCTGCATGTCAGGCCCTTCTCCTCCTCTGAACCCACAGGCGGAACATCGTGTATCCCCCTCTGTGGTGTGTGTGCGAAAGGAGGCGGCAACTTGCACTGAAAGTGGCGCGCTACTTTTCGGAGCCGGCCGGTTGCTTCCACCTGGCTCTGCGGGGAAGAGTGCTCTCTACTCCGGGCATGCCCCAGGGCGATGGCATGCTGGGGACAGAAGAGACCAAACCAGGAGGAGGAAGAGCATCTCGCATGCCATGCTGCCCTCCCGGCTCTCCCCACATGCGGCTGCAGGTTTCACCGGGGCGGAGTTTAAAGAGTCTCAGCAGAGGCAGCTGTTTGGCCTCCTGAGTACAGGAATCACTGTGTCACCACCCCACGCCAGCTCCTTCCCATTGCCCCGGCTGGCATCTTCCTGGGCCTAAGTCTTCTGCCAGCTGCCGGACCGAGCTACGCCCAGAGAGCCCACCCTTCTCTCCTGCGGCACCAGGAGAAGCTTCCTTAGCTAGCGGGTTTGGCCTCGGACGGTGGCTTGGCAGAGCCGCTCCTGTTCCAGTTCCCAGGGTCTGGCAGAGTTGAAGAGGGGGTCCTATGTGCCCCTGAGCAATGTCCTTGGTCTCACAAACAAGCAGTGATGTCGCAGTTATGACAGGCCCCCTCGATCCCCTCAACGCTACACATAAGACCCCTAAGGCAAGAAATCTGCTCAGGAGCCTCCGCTGCCCTACAGAGACCTTCGCAGACCCCCTGAGCTACTGCATTCTTCTACACACCCTCTCTTACCACTCTCACCTCCTGCCCTGATTCATTATGGTTTCTCCCCTCCTTTCTGTCCTCAGGCTTTTACAATCCTTTCTGACCAAACTATCCAGGGGCTGGAGAATGGGCGGAGGTAGGGACAACGAGCATCACATTTTGCTACATTGCACATGGGAGGATGCTGCTGCTTTTCACCAAAAGGAGGTTCTCTGTTCTCCAGTGAAGACGTCTGCATTCTCTGGAGGACGGGGAGGTCCTTCTGGTGAAATCTACAGATTAAGATGGAGTGGGGAGAGGGAGAGAGACAGAGTGTGTGTGTGTGTGTGTGTGTGTGTGTGTGTGTGTGTGTGTGTGTG